TAGCCCCCTTTCTGGGTAACCTCAATGTGTGTTCAGGGCTTTCAATAGAAAATTCCAATGCGTAGCCATCGGGAACTTGGCCTCCAGTGAGACTAGAGGAAAATACACCAACATAGGAAAATCATCCTTACCTGTATTCAAAAGTAAAGAGTTTTTGGTAGATAGCATGTGGGAGGGAAAAACAAGCTGCCATGACCCAAATTACAGAGACGTAGATAATGCCTTTTGCCATAGGTAAGCGAGGTTTCAGAGGGTGCATTATGACCTGTTCAAAACAAACTAACATTCAGGCTCGTGTCATTTCAGGAAATAATTGTATCAATTTTTTGCAGGCTTCCATTCTTATATCTATTACTAGGCACGGACATTCAGCATGCAAACCATGCTGCCTCCTCTCAGCTCTCACTGCCTACAAGTTGCACATGAGTATCTGAAATAACCCAGGAGTAAGGAAAGGCAGATCCCAGTCCAACCCTCGAACATTGTTATTTTAGTCTGAGTGACAAAAACAGGGCATCAGTGGGCTTTACACACGTATTCATTCCCAGATTCTGTTTGCTTAAAAGCAAATTAAGGATGGAGGCATAGTTTGCCTCAGTGACCAGAGGTCCATGGGGTTGTGAAGTAGCAAGAGCTCCTCGGAATATTTCTGATAATGGGAACAGCTAGATGTTAGCAAGTGAAAAATATCACCACCAGCAGCCTGCTTTGTGTGTGTTTGGGGTGAATCCAACCTGGTAACACGTGACTGCTCCCAGACCTGATCCCTCTAGCAGCAGCAGCAGCAGCAGCAGCTCTGCCCTGCTCATGACAAACACCAACCCTCTGCATCTCACGTGGAGTGAAATGTCCCAGGGCTGCCTGACACCAAGCAGGACATCCCCACACCCACAGCACTGGGGCCAAAGAAGCCTCCCACAGGGGACAGCTGCCTGTGTGAATTCCTATCAGACATTATGACTTCATCTTGGCCTGAGTGCGACTGGATGACCATCTGCAGAGTTCCTGTCCCCAGATGGGAGTGCACACGTCCCACCTCACTGCAGGTGTGGAGCTGTTCTCATCTAACAGCAAAGAGCTGCTCCACCACACTGTCAGCCCTTCATGCATCTTACATTAATCTGAGAGCTGAGAAGGGAAGGACATGGGATCACACTCTCTCATTTTAATCACACCCTTCCAAGCTTTCCTGCTCTGTGCTCCAGTGAGTTCTCACCTGGTGCCTGTCCACGGCAATGGCTGTGAGGGTCAGAGCAGAAACGTGGAGCGAGCAGTACTGCGCGAACCTACTGACATGGCACATCCCCTTCCCAAATATCCACGTGCTGTTCACAAAACGAGCCTGGAATCAGAATGACATTAGCACTTGTGCCTGTAACCACATGCTTATTAAATGAGCAATCTCCCGTGGGGAACCTGCCTTAGCAGGGGGATGCACCAGATGAGCTCCAGAGGTCCCTTCTAACACCTATGATTCCACCTCCGGCACAAGACTACTTCTGCTGTGTAAAAATGCCTTAAAATTGCAGTTTCTTTCTGCCTTGAATCGTTGCCAGACTGCTGAGGCTACTAAAACTACTTCAGTGTCTTTATGGCACATTCTCCGTGTCCCAGCAGGTCACCCCAATGCACCGAGCTGCAGACACAGCCCCCCCAGCAAGAAAGGCCTCTGCCCCCATCTTACCAGTGTAAAAGGCGTGTTGAGAAGCGTGATCATGATGTCAGCCACGGCCAGGTTGACGATGAACAGACTGGTGGCGGAACGCAGGCGTTTGCTCTTGATGATGACGTGGCAGACCAGGACGTTGCCGAAGAGGGAGAAGATGATGATGATGGAATACGCCGCGATGAGCAGAGCTTTGGCCGCCACATGCTGCGAGTCTGCTCCGTGCCGGCTCCTGCCCACAAAGCTCTGCCAGTCGGCCAGCGTGTCGTTATCCCATGGAAAGAACCCCGAGATGTTTGGGATTTCCAACATCTCCTCAAGACTTCTGTTGAGGGGGAACTTTCCTGAGGTCGGGAAGGTGTTCACGAAGTAGGGGAGGGAGAGCCAAACGAAACAGGAGAACATCTCTGGCAGGCTGCTGCGTGCTTCCCCAGGGGAAATAACTCAGGGCAGTGCTGTGGCCGGGCAGCAGTGGCTCTACAGGGGCACACGTTGCTGCCAGTGATGCACTGGCATAGCCAGGGGAGCGGGGCTCCTCTCTCTCCCGCTCAGCTCCTCATCACTTTTCTCCTCCAGAGGAGCTCTGTGTCTTCGCACAAGCTCCCAGCCAGCATTCCTGCCCATTGGGCTGCATAGCATTATTTCTGCTCTGACGTGCTGCAGTTCTGCACAATTACACTCCCCTCAGGCGTCACTCCAAGACAATCACAGCTGCACTCTGTACAGCAGGCAAAATCTGTCTCTTTGGTTCTCAGCATCCTTCCTCAAGAGCAGCACTGCTCATGCTGATTTGGTGCTGCTTATGCACCAACAATGTGTACAGGGGCTGTGCTGTCTTCCAGGCCACATTTCAAAAAGAAGTTCAGCTTTACCAGATCAACAGGAGAGTTCCAGCCTATTTCACATCACTACAAACTAGCATGGAACAGGGGCACAGCACAGAAAATCACGCACACACATACTGGTGAAAATACATGCATGCACAAGGTGTCACCCCATGAGTGTAATGCACAAGGTGTCACCCCATGAGTGTAAGCTGTGGTTTAAGGGTTAGGAGATTACCAACCTACCAGCCCCCACATACCCCTCCCCTGACACAGCTCAGTGCAGCTGCCATGAGGCCTCACACACTGTGCTCTCCACCAGAAATACCCACCTGGCAGCAGATATTTTCTCAGAGATGATTCATTTCAGTAATCCGCAATTTTGCCAAACCATTACAAGCTGATAGCATTCTGTAATGCTTTCCTTTCTCAGCCACGAGAGAGATTAGAGATATACGGCAGCACTCCTCCAGTAGGCTGACATCCACTGTCATTACTAATGAACTCTCTCCCAAGACCTCAGGACCTCACCTACTTTGTCTAACTTCACAGGAAGAAATGGCTTTCAATGCCAAGGGATGCATTTAGATTTAAAAAATACCTTAATCATAGAATCACGGAATGACCTGGGTTAAAAAGGACCACAATGATCTAATTTCAACCCCCCTGCTATGTGCAGGGTCACCAACCACCAGACCAGGCTGCCCAGAGCCACATCCAGCCTGGCCTTGAGTGCCTCCAGGGATGGGGCATCCACAGCCTCCTTGGGCAACCTGTTCCAGTGTGTCACCACCCTCTGTGTGAAAAACTCCCTCCTAATATCTAAACTAAACCTCCCGTCTCAGTTTAAAACCATTCCCCCTTGTCATATTGCCCTTAACCCCTCCACAAGTTGCACGTTTTCCTGTACCTCTTCCTGATGTGGCAACCAATCTGCTCTCTCTCTTTCTGAAAAGACAGGATCCCAGTAGGATGTGATATTTCTCCTTCAAACATTCAGCAGAGTTGAAAGTTTTTATGTGATCCCAGTGAAAAGAATATACATAAGTTCAATAGTGATAGAGTACAGTTTGGTATCTGCTTCAGCTGACTTCATGGTGTGCCAACATCTGCATCCATCATCCAGTGTCTGCAAAAGGAGAGAGCTACACAGAAATATCAGGTATCTGTGACCCGAGGCATCTTGTAAAATAAAAAAAGTATTTAAAAAACACCTGAAACAAAGATACATGGCTCTCAGGCAATTTATATCACCACAAATGTCTGCTCAATAGCTCTTTCACCTGAAGTTACAATTTAGGAAAAGAGGAGCAGTGAAAACAGGCCATAAAACAAAACAAGAACCAAAACAACCTACCCAGACACTCTACAAAATGGGATTTGGAAACATTCAACTAAAGGGGTAATTAAACAAAACCAAAACCCCACAAACAAAAGCACTGCAGAGGTGCACACCCCCACCATATCCATGGAAACAACTCCTCATCCAGTGCGGGTCTGCCAACATCTGAGCCTTCTTTGGGCAGCTGCACTGCAAGTTGCACGAGGGAGAAGTGACCTTTCAGAAACTATCCAGGGGAATTCCCTGAGAATTGACACTGACTCTGAGTGTCTTATCCTTGTGGAAATGAAAAAATAAAAGCACACTGATGATAAGAAAGATCCTTCAGCGTTAAAAAAAAATACCTGTGTCCAACAGGTTGCATTTTTTGCTTCCAGAATGAAAGATGCTGTTTTCATCTTCTTAAAGACAATTTGGGAATGGCTGCAGTTTAACATGACAAAAAAAATCTTTGAATCTGACAGCTCACTCCATCAGCCACCCGGATGAAGGAACAGAGGCCACCCTCATTAAGTCTGCTGATAATACAAAGCTGGGAGTGGCTGACACACCAGAAGGCTGTGCTGCCATTCTGCAACACCTGGACAGACTGAAGAGTTGGGCAGGGAGGAACCTGATGAGATTTAACGAGAGTAAGCGTAGAGTTTTGCACATGGGGGGAATAACTGCATGCACCAGTAGAGTTTAGGGGCTGACCTGCTGGAGAGGAGCTCTGCAGGACCCGGGGGACCTGTTGGGCACAGGTTGGCCATGAGCCAGCAGGGTGCCCTGGTGGCCAGGAAGGCCAATGGGATCCTGCAGTGCATTCATAAGAGCTCAGCCAGCAGGTTGAGGGAGGTGATCCTCCCCCTCTACTCTATGCTGGTGAGGTCATACCTGGAGTGGCGTCCAGTTCTGGGCCCTCTGGTTCAAAGAAGACAAGGATCCCCTGAAGGAGCCCAGCAGAGGGCCACAAAGACGACAAAGGGCCTGGAGCATCTCCTGCATGAGGAAAGGCTGAGTAACTTGGGTCTCTTCAGCCTGGGCAAAAGACAACTGAGAAGGGATCTGAGAAATGTTTATTTCAAGGGAGGTAGGCAAACGGCCGAGGCCAGGCTCATAAAGAGGTAAAAGTATTCTAAAAAACTCAATGCCTCCCACTCAAAGAAGTTCATACAATTGACATTCAGAATTTGTTAAACAGAAATGCTTTATTTAAAAAAAAAAAAAAAGTAAACCTTTATCCTGGAGGGCATTTACAACAGCTTTTTATTTGCATAGGTAACATTATGATAGCTGTGACAGCTCTTTATGAAAATAAAGACACACCAAATTATCTCCTGATGTCTCAAGCAATAGCACTTCTCTGCAAATTGCTCCTGAGCATTACATTAGAAATTTGACAGACCTGATTGTTTCTATGAAGTCCTCAGGAAGCCCAAGGGTCATTTAGGTCTGCTCTACAGCACACGAAGTAACAGGCATGTTTAGTGAGAGCCAGAACACCATAAAGGCCCAATCCCTCCGACAGAGGACACAAATGCACAAGCATGGCTTCCATCACTCATTTGGTGTTTCTCAGACACGTTGGGGTGTAAGCTGGTGATCACTTCCAGCTTTTCCCTCAGCTAATTCTAAAGGCTGCCGCTGTAGAACACCACCTTCTGCAGAGTGGGGCACAGAGGAGGAGAAGGGGAAGGAGAGATGGGTCTTGGATCCCTCAACAGGAGTGCTTCTCCCACTGTGAATCAAGCACCATATTTTAAAAACCTCATGAAGAAATCTTTTGAAAAATGGTGATGACATTTTAGGAAGAGCATGGCAGTAGACACCTGGAAATGTTAGCTAAGGAAATGGTAAGAGGCAATGGCATGTTTGTTACAAGCTCATTGCTGTACTCTTCAGTCAGCATTCCTCATGAAGCTGTAAGGTTCTAGCTCTTAAATCCTACTAACAAGGTAGTTACTTTCCAAGATACTTTCCAGCTTTATTACTGAAATCAGCATTTTTTAATTAAATTATTACTCTTACAGAGTTTTCAACTGTAACTGTAGAAAACTGAAAACAAATGTCTTGCTGCCCAAGTATGCACTCGTACCTACATGCACCATTTGTAAAACCTAGTAATACTAAATTTGGTGCCACTGAAAACATTTCATAGAAGTGAAGGCTGCAGGCAAACTACCACATACAGAGAAACGTCATGCAGAGTATGCCTTGCAAACTGCTTTCCATTTACTCCACAGTCTCTTCTGTGCAGCGAGGCAGAGCTCATTTCTTTCTTCGTGATGCTGCAGTGTTTTTGAACGGGTCATCCTGCAATACGTAAACAGATGTGCATTATTAGAGCTAACACACATTCTGAGTCATAAAAGGTAAAGTCACCTTCAGATTAAAATAGACAGGTCACTCAATTCTGTGCTTTCTGACAAGCCTGTTTTTATTGCTTTTGATTGCAAGGATATTACCAATTGATTTAAAAGTTCAAGTCACAAATATGCAGAGTCGGTGCGATCACAACAGCAACCTGGATCTTGGGGCGAGCTAGGAAAAGGTTATAATCCTGAGCAGCACAAACCTCAGTGAAATTAGAGCCATTTCCATATCACACTGTATTTCACTGAGGTTTCCATGTATCAGAACTACTATTTCTGCATGTTGGAACAAACACGTAGTGCTGCACTTCAAGTATAAGAAGAGATGGCAAAAAGAAGGGGTAAGAATTGAGCATCTTCTCTTTCTCTGAAGTGGTCAACATTTGATATCATTAAGGTTGTGGTGCTGGTTATGTGCCAGCCTGCTATTATTCTATAACAACACACTGTACAGTGTGTGTTCAGTGCAAAATCACATATAAAACAATTAATTCCCAGGAAATCTAACTTACTCAATGTATTCCAGGAGCAATGATTAACTGATTAAGAACTTGAGATATTTCCCTTTCTAGCCTTATTTTTTTGTCTATGTATACATACTAAAGCTGGTTATAATAATCTAGTCATGCTAGTAAAAATAATTTGATTTTACTCAGAAATGCTTTATTTAAATAACTTCAAAACCAATAATCTATACAAACTCACATGAACAGACAACAAAGGTTTACCATACCTCATCTGACTCAAAATCAACTCCTCTGGATGTTTGGCTTTGTGAACCTCTTTTACCAAAAAAAGACATAGCTGAGAATCTTAAAAAGAAAACAAAAAAGGTACCAGCACGTCATCAGATGGCAGCCATTTCAGAAAGTTTCCCTTCATCCATCAATTACCATTATTAGTTTAACAACAACAAATAATAACAATGAGCAAAATCATTCAAAGTCTCAAAGTAACAGATTCTGAAACTCTGACCTCGCTTACAGCTTATGCCAGTCAGTACTCCAACTTATTCTCATTGAAGATCACCCACATTAATGGGCAAAAAATACAGATGAGTTCTGTAAGCTGCATTATGAAATTTGTGACAGGCTGTTCTTTCAGGCAGTGGATCAGTTCCCTGGGCTCTGCCAAAAACCAGTCAGAAATGAGGCAGCCACTGTAGCACCCACCAAATAAACATACTGACCTTTGGTTTGTTTTGGAGGAAAGACTAATATGAGACTCTTCTAGATCCAATTCATCATCTATAATATCCTGAAAGATAGACACCAGGTTTTTTCACAGAGTTTATCTTTAGAGAAATAGAATACATAATACTGCTGTATTATTGCACAGTAACTTTCCTGAATCCATTTCAAGTATATAGCTACTTATTTACAGAGCACATATGAGAAGGCTCTAGAGGAAAACTGTACTGTGTGTGCAGTTCTTGCACAAGACCTTGCAGAAACCCAAGAAACACTCATGTGTTAGTATGTATACTAACATATATATATATATATATATACTTATACTCTTAGTATCTCAAACTATGGTCATAAGTAACACATGGTCTTTGTGTTGCACATACAGACCCCATACCAAAAAGAAGCCTACAAATCAGCACGTGGAACCTTCCTGTTGGAACTCATAGCTTGGGAACACCTGCTGGTTGAGGTCAACGTTATGACTGTGTGTTTGTTTCTCAAAGCAGATGGCAGCAAAAGGCAGCAGCTATGCAGCTTCGCTACTTTTCAGATGCTTCTTACCTCAGAGAAAAACTTAGATGCACTCTGGGAATTCTCTGGTTTCAAAGACCTAAAGGCTGGGAAAGAAATAAATGCAGTATTTTTAAGTGCTCATATAGTAAAATGCAGTAAGTATTCTGTTCCTTTCAGGAAACCTGCTTAGCATCAGTTTCCTGTGCAATAAAAAAATCCTCTGTAAAGAAAGCAAGTCAACCTCAAACTAAGAGAAGCAAAGGTCCCAGGCAGACAACAGCAGAAGCTAAGCCTTGCTGACGTCTGACAACCCGCATCAGGAGGAGCTTCCCAGTCTGGATGAAAAAACATCAGCAGCTTAAGTTAAGAGGCAGAGAAAAGCATTACCATAACTGACACTCCTGTATGTCACATCCATATGCACCTGACCTGTCAGTTTTGTGGTTTTGTTCCCCAGTTTTTTAAGTGGCTCAGGCAAATGAAAGGGCTGGACATCCCTAGCAGACATGAACACATTTTCTGAAGTTGATTTCTCTGCATTGTTTTTGGTCATTTGCTGAGTCTACGATTAATTTAAATAAAACTTGAGCCATCTTTGGGTATTTTGGAGGGGATTTATGTAAAAATTCTTGAGCAGTATTTTCTCTTTAGTACTGAGATCATCTACATCACTTCCTCAGAGCCTGCCCTCTGTACCAGGGAAGGGCTGCTCTCCTGCATGCAGCTTACAGTGCAGATGAATTCCTCTTCTCTGCTACAAACCAACGTTCCTTAAATTTGCAAAAAAATAAGACAAGATGGCTTCTTAAAGCTTACTAAACCTGTAAGCATCATCAAGTTTAAGAATTTTAACCAGTTCCTGCATATTCTGTATAGAAAAGTTGCTGCTAAGACATATTCCTTCTATTCATACTCCTTAAAGAACTGCATACAGCTTACAGTGAACTGTTACCTGTGCCCAGTTCCAGCCTAATCAAAGAATAGCCCATACTAGAAGGGACCCACAAGGATCATCAAGTCCTATTCCAGTGTTCCCAGCACATCTCATTTTATCCCCAGTGACAGCAGATATAATTACTTTTTTCCTTCTTTCATCACTGTTACTTATCCTGCTTCATTAGAACCAAAATCATCTCTCCCAGCTGAACCTGACTAACAGAAATGAAGGCAATTAAGATACATCCAGTAAGTAAATTTCCTACAACAGGAGAGCATATCAGAGTGATGGACAGAACATAGGCTTACCATCCATGATAGACAAATTCTTGTCAGGCACAGACTTGTATGTTCTGCTGCTAGTAGATGACCCTTGGCTAGTGTTTCCTACAGGAAAAATAAACAACACCCAAGTCTGTTCGGTGTCATTTTTAATTTCTAAAGGTTATTTTTTTTCCTGCATGACATTTTCTATAATTTTTCTCAACAATGAAAGGCAAGTCACATAAAAACCTAATTACTCTTTACTCCCTTCCTTTCTTCCTTGACACAAAGCCCCCTTACAAACAGATGAACTATTTTGGGTCAAGTGCTTACAGCTCCACAGACAGAGTCTCAGCACACATCATGTCACTGCTCTGACCGAATCACAACATTATATCACATGCTCAAAACTGACTTCAGGCACTAACCAACCCAATCCTAAGATGACTGTCCTTCTTTCCACTCATCCTGCTCTTAGATCTCTCACTTAAGACCTCTGGGCATATTACTGACAACTCAAAGGAGTACAGCATTGCAGGTCCCCATCTTGTATTTATTTATTTTTTTTTTTTTTACAGCCCCCCATAATGCAAGGTCTGCACGATCACACAAAGCTAAGGAGCAATTTAAGACAATCTGTACATTCTGTCTATACTATTAAATGCATAGCACTGCATTACCATTAGCAATAAAGATATATCCATGCAATTCATAGGAACAGACCTTCCTAGTAATGGATCTCTTATGAACCTAACTTGTCTCCATAGCTGGGAAGAACGGTAATTTCCTTTTAAATGCACCATGAAAAAGTCACAACTTGCGTCACAGAAGACACAGCTGTGTATCACACAGTACCTAAATCATTTCAGCATTTTATTTTCTCTCTGGGTGCTTTTTAGCTAGAAGCTTCCACTTGATGGAAGCGTTTGAACAAAGAATTCTTTCAAAGAAAAATGTCAGTGAAGAATTTGAGTGTATTACTTACCTCTTCCCCTTCGAGATGACCCTCTTGCTGTTGAATTTTGCCCTCTTGCACCTCTTGCCCTTCCTCTACCCCTTCCTCGGCTCAGTGTTGTGGGAATGTCATCATCTGAATCACCAGAGGCTTTCATCCCTGTATCCATAAGTTCTTCATCACTGGAGGCTGAGTCAAGAACCACATCCTTGGACCTGTGAGCTCTAGCCCTCGTCATTGCCTGTAATGGAATAATAAGTGCCAGAGGAAAAAGAATCTTAAATTATGAAATGCACTCCTGTTGAATCCTTGTTGTGACAAACAACTGAGCAGTTGTTCCCAACCAGTACTGGTTGGGAATTCTCTATGGAAAGTTATAACATCTAGACATAAATCTGCAGGAGATCTAGGACCTGGTTTGCTGATAAGGTCAACAGTACCAAAGCATTTACCAGTAGCAGCAATTTCTTTAAGTATCAATATAGCCCATTCACATCTCCACTGGTGATGGGATCACCAACAGCTGAAGCTGACAGAGCTCTGAAGGCCACCTGCCTGGTTCAAAGCAAGGGCAACTGAACATTCAGGTTCACAAACTTCTAGAAGAGCAGATCTCAAAGGCTGAACTGAGCAGCATCTTAGGCACATATTGCACAAAGGATGATTACAAGACTTGTTAATCTTCTCGCAGTAGACAGGCACTTTTGGCAGGGATGATGCTGAGTTATTTATACAGTGACTTCACTCATATGCAAAATTCCATCTTTGAATTTAAGTCCAAAACTCTGAGCAGTTACCTCTCGAACTTCCTCATCCTCCTCTTCAGTGTTTTCTCTTCTACTCTCTCTAAATTTTCGCACCTGAATAACAACAGTGATAAAAAAACAGTTTCCTTCAGAATAACAACTTGTACAATATTGGAAACATAGTAAGAAAGAAGTCTTTATCTCTGAACTGAAGTCTAGCTCATGCAAGAGGAGAGCAAGAAAGTAAAAACAGCTTAAAGTTTTGTTTAGAGACTTCTTATACTAACCACAGTCTGTGTGATGCTACAAATTAAGCATCTCACACCCCATTGGCAGCTCTCCTGTAACTGCACATGATGAAATGCAGGAGATACGTTCAAGAGAAGCAAAATAAGTAAATAGTCAATAAGTGACAATGAAACAGGAATAAATGGAGAAGGCAAGGTAAAGGGTGAAGCAGAAAGACAGGAGACCAGGATTATTGAGAAGAGAGAAACTGCAATACACACATAACACAAACATCTTAGGCACAAACTTATGAACTCTCTATCTGGAACCCAATCCCCATATTAATTACAGAAAAGGACTAGAGACAAGTGTTGCAAGTGCAGCACACAGGCAAGGTTATGTAACCAGCTCTGAGCACCAACTTTTTTTACTGTCTCCACCTCTTCTAAAGATTTGACCATGACAGACCATTACCTCCTCATCTATTTTTACTTCCTCCGCATCAATGTGACGCTCCTTAAGAAATCTTTGTGTTTTCTCTAGCTGAAACTTCACCAGCTCCTCTATGGCATCTTTTTCTTCTTTGTCCACAAACTCCTGCACTGCTTCTCCCATTCCTCTTTCAGTTAGGAGTGAAAGTTGTACTTTCTTTAAAATAAGGGGAAAACAGTTTCAAAGAAAATGAGCGATATTCCTGCTATCCCACTAAACATTATGCTTGGTTTCAAAGGAACTAACACTGAAGTAGCACTGAAGATTTCAATCAGAAAAAAAAACAGAGCAACAAGCAAGCATCATTCCTCCAATAGGCACAACTCAGCTGCTATTAGCACGTTATGCCTCACCTAATGTAGTATTTTCCATATTATATTTCATAAGTAGTAAGGAAATTGCAATGCTGCTCATATCTAAAACAATTTGTCTCAAACATATTACTGAGGGAGATGGTAAGCTGTATTTTTTCCCAGTCAACCTCCCATTTTAAAATTGACAAAGACTTGTTTTGACTTGTGGAGACATAAAAAGTAATTAGAAACAGGCACTGAATTATTACAGATTCTAAGCTAATTAGTTTTATTGTAAAACATTACTATTAAAAAACTGACAGTGACAGAGCTGACTAAATTATTCTGAAGCATTAAGAGCTATTAAGCAGAAATCTACTCTACTGAAATGCAATCCTGTAAATACCAATATTTGGTCATCAAGTGAGATACTATTCATCAAAATATTCTACAGTGAGATATTACCACCAGCACTAATTAGCAGAAATAGCAGAAGCTGCTGGTGGTGTTCTACTGCCATTCTCTTCTTCATCTTCTTTATCCCAACAGAGTAAGAAAAGATGCTCTGAGAAAGAAACCCCTACACGAGAAGTGTTCAAACAGCAGTTTTTTCTGACTGTAAACTAAAGCACAGATAATTTCTTAATAAAAAGCATTATATATACCCTTCTTAATAACCCTTGATCCTTCCACTTGTCCTTTAGGAATTGTACTGTGAGTTACACCAGAGCAAAAAACCTTCCCTGAAATAATGCTTAACTGGGGAATCAATTTTTATCAATTAAGTTTACAAAACAATAAGGCAAGCATCTCAAAAGAGAGACTGACTGCAACGATGCAGAATGTTCGTGCTGACTTTCAGCAATTAAGGTTTCCTCTGAAGGAGTGGAAAAGAAATTACAACTTACTAAAGAAACAAATAGCAGTGATTTCATTTCCCAGGCCTTAGCTCACCAGCAACAGCGGAACCAAAATGCCTGCTGCTTGTTAGATATTTGGGGTTTAACATTTTAGGAACACCCCACTACAGCCCTGTGCCACCTCAGGGTCTGATTGCTGTTCTGTCCACCTAACCAGGCAAGATGAAGTGCCTAGCAGAGCCTGAAGCTCAAGCCCTTTCCCCATCTTGGGGGGCAACATACTTCCTCCACTTCTATTTCTTCCTTTAGCACTGTTGACTTGAAATGTATTATCCCCCCTACTGTAAGCCTTCCAGAAACATCAGCTGATTCTTTCAGGTCTTTTAGAGATGCTGAGCAGCTGAAACAGACCTCAAAAGCTAGAACTGGTTTATACAAGTTGTTTATATAAGAATATACAAAGAAATTGGGAAAATGGCCTAAGAAGGACAATTCTGCAGAAGGGAGGAAAACAGTTTAAAAGCAGAATTGTTCTTCATAGAATAGTACAGTGTTTGACCCTCCATGACCTCTCCATGGATTCAGGGATGGCACACATTTGAAGCACTACTTGCTTCTGAATTACTCATCCTGGGTTCCATTCCCTATCATATTCAGACAGCAAAGAGCCCTTCCAGAGCTTAATTTAAGTCAGGGGTCTGTGTCAGGCAAGGTGATAAATTTGGTGATCTCTGCCTCAAGAATCCTAGTTCTAAAAAGCTTCTATAAATCATGTTCTGAAATAGCTTCTGGATTCAGCATTTGGGTTGCTGACTCACTGGTCACTGTATTTCACTCTAAGACTTTGCAGCCCCATAGCTGGGGAAAGGCAGTAGATAAGGTTTAATGAAAGGGTGACACAAAAGCAAACTGCCAGGTGCTTTCTTTGTCCTCTCTGCTCCTGTTTAAACATGTGGAACTGCACTAAGTCTGAGGATACCAAACACACTGCAGTGTAACAAATGATTCCAACTCAGCAGGTACTTGTAACTGGTACAGCCTCGCCACCTCCCCATAATAAATTAAGGCAGCTTCTGAGGTCCTGCTGCCTCAGGTTTTCTTTCTGTAGCAACAGAATGCAACATTCAGCACAGGGCAGATGCTACAAGTTCACATAAAGAGCTACTGTGATTTATCAAAACAGCATGTGTTTGTACACCCTATGTACCCTATGTGCAACAATTGCTTACCTAAGGCATATACAGTTATATAGGAAATAAAGGAACTTCTTGGTGGCTGTCAGTCTTTTCAGCATATACTGCATCCATAAGTAAAGTAATATGTGTAACAAAAATATATATATATATATTTATACACAAATTCATAAAAGGTACAAAGATACCTTCTCTGCTGTCTGAAAATACTGCTTTACGAGGTCTTCCACTCTCAGTGTCACCCCCTCAGAAGCAGGTCTGCTAAACAGCTTTCCAAAATTAAGATCATTGTCTAAAACAGAAAAGCATAGTGACACCATAACCCACAACTCATGCAGGAACTGGCAGATTTTAATTATCCTAATTATAGTAAGTAAAGAGGAAAAAATATATAATATAGGTCTCTTAGGAATCATGGTCCCTTTTATGTGTAAAGGTTTATTCAAGCTTACACTACTGGATGCAAACACAGTAAATATAACAGATGAAATTGTCTATACAAGACAACCACATTCCTCATGGATACAAAAGATACTTCTAACTACTGAACTTCTGGAATTAGGAACAGAACACCACATCCTGAAGGCTATCATAATATGCTTGGTTGACTGTGAGTAAAAGAAAAACGCACAGCACAGTGAGGCTGCCCTGCACTCCAAGGAAGCAAGGCAGGAACAACAGAAGAATGACGGTGATCACCTGAGGCAATCGCACACCACACCATGAAATACGAAATGACTGCAGACTGGTCCAGTGGGAAGTGTCCCTGCCTACAGCAGGGGGATGGGAACCAGATGATCTTAAAGATCCTGTCCAACCCAAAGCATTCTATGATTCTAATGACTATTTCTAGACGTTTGCCACAGCCAAGCATAAAATGCTGCTGGGTTGGCCTTGTTAGATAAGCAGCTATAACCAGAGAAACAAAGAATAACAACTTCCGAACTATTAAAAAGTGTGACCATCATCCCGTACTGAGCCATAGTGTTACGTATACATGCAGAGGAAATTCTGCCTGCTTCATCAGCCGCCTAACTTAAACAGCAGAAGGTAGCAAAGTCATGCAAAGATCCATGGCATTCTTCTTATATTTCCTTCCTCAAGTTCAGATTAAAAAGGAAAATTAAAATGCATTGATAAAATGCAGCGAGGGAGCTGTTTTACATTCTGAAAATGTTAATGGGATTGTTTAATGAGCAAATCAAAAACAGAACCAAACCAAACAAGGGCAACACTGCATAATTTAACAAACCAAAACCACTTCCCTAGAAGTTGTTTTTATTCATGATCCACCATGCTTCAATCTTTATAAAACTGACAATGGAAAGAATAACTGTCTCTGGAATTGGAGTATTCAGAATGCACTAATGTGTAACATTAACAGTTCTTTAGATTAGCACAGTATGTTCTCGTACAAGCTGTACCTTCATTAGTGCCTATTACAAATCCAGTATTAGGGCAATATCTATTAACCATTTATTACAAATTCCAGGCACAGTGAGAAGTGCTACAATAACAGCTGTTATTTGTTTTGCCACAAAATGCTTGAAGGGAAACACCCGTGGAACAGGCTGAGAAGGCAGAAGCCCCTCATACACCTTTTTTCCTACAGAGAGCCCAAAGCCAACCATCTCCTTCTGAGAAGTTCAAGCAGGAAGGCATTTAATGCTTTTTCCTCATGATTATGACTCAGTCTGATATGGGGCTATAGGTAGCACTGCAGGCAACTCAGTGAGATTTGAGGTAAAAGGGAATTATTTATGAACAACTACCTGACAGACACTGCATTCAGTATCAGAATTTTTAGACAAACCTGGGAATCTAGTAGAAATTCTTCTGCAGTAAGATTATATACATCATTATTATCCCTGTAACTTTGCTAGACACCAAAGTTCAGCAAAGGCTGAGTAACAAGAAAAAGGAAGAAAAAATGAAAGCTAAGGAGAGCCTTCCTTTCCAATTACCATTTTTCTCTTTTTGTTCACGATGTCTGAAAAAATGTATGATGTCCTTTGGGTTGGCCACCCTATCCATGTACTTCTGGCTGAAACGATGGATGATGAATGGCTCAAAGCCACCTGTGTAATCAACCTAAGGGAGGACAGAAAAAAATAAAACATGAAACAAGCAGGAAAAGTGAAGTCATACAAACCAGGACAAGCTTGTGATGTTACCTTTCAAAGCAAAAAAAAAAAAAAAAAAAAAAGTGAAGTGAAAAATAAGCCAATCTACAATTAATGCTTCACCATACTATGCAGAATAGCCAATACAAGCACAGATTCGCAGCTTGTTCCATTTGCAAGGGTTAAGGAAAGTTCCCATGTATTAGGTTATGCAGGATGATAATAGGACTCAAAAAATCCTCTGTACATGTTCACTTTTCATTTCCTCATTCAGACCAGCAAAGAAGGACATTGATGAACAATCTTATTCTGTATCACACATTATTTTTACCAGAGGTGAAAAGAATCAGAGCACGAAAGCAGATTGTTCTGCCTGTAAACAGCAAGAATTTGCATGTATTTATACAACAAGCACTGTTTTTCCTTTGCAACTTTTCACAGTGACTTTCCAAAAGCAAACTAATCCAAATTGAACAGCTTACTCGTAATCTAATGAGAGGCTTCTCTGGCTGGCGTGGATTTCCAAGGCGTTCTCTTTCTGCATTATCCAGCATCATTTCAACCTATGGAGCAGAAACAGGAATTCAATTCCACTTTACTCTCTTACAGATATCTGAAACCTTCAAATGTAACTTGCCTATCTCCAATACAGCGTAGCTCAGCTACATCTGCATCAGCTCATGATCATTTCCAGGGAAAAGAATCACAATTGTAGGGGCTGGAAGGGACCTCTAGAGATCAAGTCCAACTCCTCTGCAAAGCAGGCCCCAAAGCACGCCCCACATGTTAGTGATCAGTACATCTTTGCTTCTTACCAGTGAGATAACAGTAACTATTGTGTTTGTCACAGGCTGTGGACTGATAATTGAGATCCCATTGTTTCTATATACAGCAGGCTGCAAGGTAGGCATCCAGTTGGGTCTTGAATATCTCCAGAGAAGCAGAATCCACAACCTCCCTGGGCAGCCTGTGCCAGTGCTCCATCACCTCACCATGAATAAGTTCCTTTGCATGTTGGTGCTGAATTCCTATGCTCCAGTTTTTGGCCATTTCCCCTTGTCCTGTCCCTACAGACTTCTGAAAAGAGGTCATCCATGTCTCTTTGACTCCCACACTAAAGATACTCAGATCCCCTGAGTCTTTTTTTCTCAAGGCTGAACAGACCCAGGTCGCTCAGCCTTTCCTCACACTCCAGGCCCTTTATCATCTTCATGGCCCTCCACTGGACTCTATCCAGGAGATCCCTGCCTGTTTTGTACCAGGAGCCCGGAACTGGATACAGTACTCCAGGTAAAAAACAGGAAGAATCTACTAAAGCCCTAAGAACCAAGAGCGAGCAGTAAACCTGCCTCAGCTACTTGGATCATTTCACACCGTACAGCTCAGCTCTTGGGGTTTAGCTCCGTGTATTGACGCTGGTTCCAAAGTATACATCCATACAACGACCCATCCCCAGGTGGGAATTTTTGTAGAAAGACAGATGGACATCTGTGAAGCAGTTACAGCCTGCTTTAATAGGTAACCCTTGTTTAGACTCCAAAGCTGCAGTGAATGTCATAGGATTAGCCCTCAGTTGAAACACTACTTGTCAGTTTCAAATAACAGGGGACAAGAAATAAGATTCCTTATCTTCCACTCTTAAAACTAGTCCCAGACCACATTCCCTGCCCATGTGCTGATTTCAGAACACCACTAGCATTAGAAGTTACCTTTTCCATGCAGAATGCTTGTATTGCCTGAGTTACTTTAGGATTGTCAGGATTAAACAGTTCCGAGTGATCAGCCAGGACAACATCTTCCATATAGAAAGTTCGTACGGTCTCTAAAGCAATCCTCTGCATTTTCATTTTTTTTCCTTTAACACGCAACAAACCAACATGCCTAGCAGGAAAAAGACAACTTACTTGAAGATGAACTTAAGAACATGGTGCAGAAGTTTGTTCTAAACCCCACGGTTTTTTTTTGTTGTTGTTGTTGGTTTTTTTTGGGGGGGAGGGGGTGGGAAGATGGTGTAAAAACTTTAAAGCCACAGTAAAAAATTTAGAGCTATAGAAAGTTCTTGGATACTCACTTCAGGGTTGGCACTGCAAGACTTCCAACACAGCATATTCAGATTATGCCTGCTCTGCACACGCTTCATATCATTGCAATTTATCTTATCCTTAACTTATCCTCTTGGATAAGTTCTGTTTGTTTTGAGCATCAGGTTTAGTTCTAAGTAAAACAAACTTACCCCAGGCACCGATTCCATCTGCTTCATTTCTCATGTCACACTGTGACACTGATCCATGTTACAACACAATCCCTTTCATACTAAAAAGGAGTATTTTTCTTGGCTATGTAGATGTCATTTGTCAACACAATACACATGAGACAAGAGCTAAATAACAATAAAAAAAAATAAAGAAATCACATACTTCTTTGCAGCTTCTCCTGGGGACAGAGACGTCACCACTGAACTTCCTGGCTGAGTAACATAGAAATGCTGCTGTTCATTTTGGGCTGGAGTTATTTTACACTCGTGTTCGTGACCCCACACAACAAGATTAATAAAGTCATCTAAAAACTGCTCTGGAATGTAGTTTGTGGCTCCGTGTTTGCTTCTATTCAAGAAAACAGAAAAATAATTAGTTTACAGTAATGGGTAGGCACAGGTGGGGAGTGAAGGAGGAGAAAACCACCAATGTGATATTAAAATGATGGAGAATCTCCAGCAAAAATACCTGATGTATATTTTACATCAGGCATTCTTCATATTTTTTCTTTTATCCAATTGTTTGAAGTATTTAGGTAAAGACAACTTACACAGATTTGAGTCAAAGATAGTTTACTTACACAGGGAAATTTTCAGAAAGGTTTTTCTGTTCTGAATGAAGCTCTCTGTCCCTTTCCAGAAGATGAAAGAGATTGAGAGCTCCTTCAGCCTACTGGGTAGAGCCAACAGCCAGAGGTCCCAGCTGTGTTTGTTGACTTCTGCCTCACCATTATCTCCCACATGACAGCCACACTGTGATGCATGAAAAAAATCAAAGAATCTGGAAAAGAACTCTGCCTGTTCCTACTGATACTGCTGGAAGAAATGGGTAGGCAGAAAGAACACAAGCTAATATCCTCTAATTAAGAGAATCTGTAAAGAATAGCAATGCAAGTGAAGATAAAATACTAATGGAATTATGGGTCAAAGTCTAGGAAACAGGATATGAGGTTTCCTGGTCTCTCACATCTAACAAGCAGACTTAAGACTTAAATGAAATCCTCCCTCGCCCTCAGGTATGAAGAGTTTGGGAATCAACTTCCCAGCATTTCCAACTCATTTATTTCAACTCTTTTCCATTATGGTTCTTCTGTAAGAACAGCTGTAAAACAGTGCTTCTTTTTGGGAAAATCTTCACACTAAGCACCAGCCAGCACAGCTGGTTTTCTCTCCTGCAGATTTCAAAGCAGTTTCATGAGAACACCACAGTAAGTTTAAGTCACCATAATTCATTCAGCACTGCTACCTATTCTGATGAATCACAAACAAGTTAAACCAACTGTCTTCATCCTCCTTTGGTCTCAGCATGGTTACTTGTTTATTGACAAACATACGATACAACCTCTCATCTGGAATGGCCCCTGCAGGGGACAAAACAAAACAATAAAACATTTCTGTGTGGTCTATCTGTATTTTATAGTGTTTTAATTAGGAACTCTTTTTAATAGAGTAGAACAACCCCTGGTAAGATTGTCATTTTTGTCACTAAGAAGTCTATAGTGGGATTATGAACTCTAAGTATAACACTGTCATATTAGAAGCCTCTGTAGCGATGCAAGGCATTCTGACAAGAAATCTACTTTTCAGTAACTGAAAGCAGTGTCACTGACTACATCTAGCTTAAAAACTCTTTGCCAATTTTCTGTGCCAAACGCTGTACCAGGGGTAGAATCAAAAATAGGAGATGTTTTATTCCTTGCCAATGGAATAAGCACATTCTGTTGTAAGAAACACTCCAAAACCAGATATGACTGGAGATGGAGTTCTTAAGCATATTTTGAAAATCTCTAGAAAACAACAGAGAAAGCATGAATTTTACAAAGTTTGTGCTTTCCCACACAGCAGGAAAAAAAAAAATCTGCAGTCCTTCTAAACTGGCTGCTGCTGTTTGTTTCCTTAGGCAAAGAAAAACAAAAAAAACAAAACTAACAAAATAAACTCAACCAACTAAACAAAACCAAAACCAACCATTGGATGCTTCATTTTTATTATGGACTTCAAAGAATCCCACATGGAACGTATGTCTCTTCTGCATGAAAAAGTTTTCTATAAATCAAACAAAGTCTAGAGGGTGTAAAACAGAGATGACTTCAACGAAGCATCTCTCAAACATTTTTGCACAAGATTTCCACTTTAGAAGGCTGCTGCATTTCCCAGTAGTGATCTTTTTTTGGGTATTCAACTGCTTTTTATGAAGTTTGACATTGTGGTATTAGAACACTCATTATTAACTTTTAGAACACCATGAAAACTCTAAAATATTTCATTTAATAGAAGGAATCACAGCCAACTAGAGCTTAACAGAGAACTGTAAAAGCTGCTTGGAAATCAGTGTTGAAGCATTCATGGCTGGATATGAAATAAAGGGGCAGAGTGAAGAACTTCTGTAAACAAAAAGCAGCAACAACACTGCACTGAATGAATACAACTCCATTTACTTATACAGCAACAGACTGAAAGGTGTGTCTGTTCCAACTTAATTTAGACATACTGAACTTTGGCAATATGTGAACAGTTGAGCCACAGCATGGCAGAAAAATTCTTACCTAAGCCATACAGAGCAATTTTTGTTCTACCCTTACGTAATAAAATGGGGCTAATATCTATTTTCTCCACAGAAGTTGAACGTCCAAAATGATTCAGCAATCCTGCACAGCTTAAAATATCCAGTGCACACAGTGCATCCACCTGTAGAAAATCAGAGAATGAAATAAATGCTTTCAACAGGAAATGTAGCCTTTAAAGTCAAAGGGAAATAGTTTCAGAAGGGAAAGAGAATATCTTTCCTTAAATACATTCTGCAGTTGGAAACCTTGCCAGAGAGCTATATTAGCACTTTTTGGTATTCACCAGAACAGAAGCAAAATCCTTCTTACAAATCTTAATTTTAACAATGGGAAATGAAACATCATTCAGAAAAATAAGGGAGAACCCCAGCCAGCATCTACAAGAAACTGCTTAAACTCAACACTTCGTAGTAGGACTGAGACTACTGTTATAATGCACTATGATACACTGCTGTTTCTCATAAAAATATAGAACTCTTACTTTAGTGCATGCTTTCCAAATGTTCTTTTTTTTTTTTTTTCCTTGTTTAGTTTTAGATGTTGGATTTTAAACAGGCATTTCAACATTATTAGTTTACCTTCCTTGAAGTGCCTCTACTTGAGATTAAAGACTCAAAATTGAAGATGCCTATCAATCATACAAGGAATTTAAGCACAAGTCAAACTATTAACATTTCCTTTCCTTAAGAAAAAAGGCTTTCAGTTTCTATAGATGAGTTTGTTTTAGAAACTTTCCAAAGGGCTGCCACTTCTTGGCATGGGAAGTGAATCTGTTCCCAGTTATCAAAGCCTGTGTATATTAAGAGATATAATAGAGTCCCTACGGATCCCTTATTTCAATTCTCTTTTTTAATGACACCCTTAGGCTGCTGCCACTCACAAAGAGAATTTCAGAAGGTACACAGAATATTGATATGAAGAGGGAAGGAACTGACTCAAACAAGCCTGTTCCTAAAGAATTGTATTTTTATACAAGTCCATCCTACAGTATTATTTTTGTAACATAGTAGCATAATTACAATAATAATTACCCCTGTGGGATCATCATGATTGCCATGAATACTAAAAATTGGCAAAGAAATGTTGAGATTTTCATCCTGGTAGTTCACCCATGGAAACCTGAACAAATAGAGGAAAACAAGTTATAACATAACACCAATTTGTGAACAAAAAATTCCCAACATTTTCTTCAAATTGTCATCAGAAACACACGACAGCAGCACAAATGATACCAAGTGGCTGGGATTAAACTTAAGCTCCATATCAGAAGAATATTCTTATTCACAGTCTGGAAGTTCCTAATGGGAGTATGGTAGCAAAAATATTTTTATCATTAATAAAGAGCTAATATATGAAAGCAGAAGACTGTGCAACCTTTACACGCAAAAGACTGTTTATTTTAGCACAGTAATTCATTTAAGTTGGTTTACTTGTAAGACACAGCCTATTTATTACTTCAATCTATCAACTGTTAAAACATCTCCAGAGGTTACTCAATAAATGGTCCTTTACAGACTTAATAGAAGGTGATAGATGAGGTGATGCTATAAACTGCCCCATACAAACAGGCCTAACACTTCAAGGTGGCAGTCACAGAGGAACAGGCTGCCCAAGGAGGCTGTGGATGCCCCATCCCTGGAGGCATTCAAGGCCAGGCTGGATGTGGCTCTGGGCAGCCTGGTCTGGTGGTTGGTAACCCTGCACACAGCAGGGGGGTTGAAACGTGATGATCATTGCGGGCCTTCTCAACCCAGGCCATTTTGTGATATACTGCACTTAAGAATAAATAAATAAAAATCACAACGCATTCATCCAATATGAAAAACAAACACATGACACTGTAACTTGTAAGAAACAGACTTACTTGCTGAACTGAAAATTAACTGCCTGATCACTCAGAACTTCAAAGTGAACAGGACGATCCCCCATGCAGTATTTTCTTAGTGACTCCAAACAAGTATGTATTGTTTTTCTGGAAGGTTTGTTTTCATGAAAGAGGTCCCCACCTAATAAAACAAAGTCCACCTGTATATAACAAAGAGCTCCATTATTTCAATACAGCACTTTGTATCACCTTAAGGGCCTGTAAGCAAACTCATTAAATTACTTCTTCTAAGTACTCCCACATACTTCATACCGGGACCCCTATTTAAAACAAGTCTGTAGTTGCAGATATTCATGAACCAACTAACTACAGAATAAGTAAACTAAGTAAATTATTTTGAATCTGGACTGGCAGTGCTCCAGGTGAGGCCTCAGCAGTGCAGAGCAGAGGATAAGATCACCTCCCTCACCCTGCTGGCCACACTGCTCTGGATGCAGCCCAGGGTACAGCTGGCTCTCTGGGTTACGAGGGCACACTGCTGACTCATGCTCAGCTGCCACCCACCAGTACCCTCAAGTCTCCAGGTTCTGGTAAGGCTGTGCTCTACCCTTTCATCCCCCAGTAGCTCTTCTCTCCCAGTGATTTTCCATTCTTGCAGCATTAAAACCCCTCTAAATATCCCTGGAAGTGGTGCAAGTGCACTGAAAATACCGATCACACATCCAAGGTCATAATTTAAGAAGAATGCTCTCACAAAGGTATTAGCATTTCTTTTACTAAGGGAAGAATGTAGCTGATTGCAATAAATAAATGCTTAGTTTAGTATTACAAAAGATTACAAGACTAAGCTACATAGCTTCTACCAGGTTGCAATGGATTTTCTAATCTCCTTTACTTTCCAGAAAGTAATACTTACTTCATTTTTTTGAGCATGCTCCAAAATTTCATTAAAAGTTACAAACGTGTCATTGCCACGCACTGGGTCCTTCTCCAAATAGCCAAGATGAATATCAGTAGCAATCAATATCTTGAAGGTATCTTCATCATCCCTAAATAAACCAGGAAAATTTCAACACAGACCTTATTAAAGTTTGTTTGGTATAAAGTCATTAAATACACAGTAGATCTATTATAAAATCCTTATCACTATACTTTTCCTGTAATACTCTCAAAACGTTCCACTGCTTTACTTGCAAGTGGCACTTGATCTTGGTCAGGCCCTGGAACAGACCTAGGGCAGGGGGCACAACCCCAAACTGCCAGAGTTCAAGGAGCATTTGGACAATGCTCTCAGACACAGGGTCTGATTTTTGGGTGGTCCTGTGAGGAGCCAGGAGTTGGACTTGATGGTCTTTTTGGGTCCCTTCCAAGTTAGGATATTCTATGACTCTATGACCAAACAAACCAGTTTCACAATTAGATTATCCTAATCAGTTTAGTTCAGAAAATGGCTGCAAACACCTGATGAAAAACTAAAGGATGCTCTGTGTGCTTTCAGCCTTTGAAAAACTCCGCAAATAAACGTACTGTGTTTGTTTGTTTTGGGAATCCACAAACACACACAAGAAAGGCCTTGCATAAGAACAAACACAGTTCTGAGCACTTAGCTCTTTTCAAATGCACCGAAGGTTTGCTGTCTGGTATGGCAGAACTGCATCGTGCTACAGCTGACAGAGCTTACTGCAAGCCGACGGCACTCATCTTCCTGCAAGGATTCCTCAAGAAAAGGCTCCAAGCACAGCCAGAGAGGGCAGAGTACCGGTTCCTGGTGTCACAGACGCATCAGTGCCTAAGAGATAAGAACACAAACGAATCAGAACGAAGGGCACCGCGAGCGGAGCCGGCAACCACTCAGACTTTTATTAAGGACAACTTACAAACACTCTCGGGCACTGATCAAGCAAGCTCTGAACCTACTTCAGCCACTTCCGACCAAGCGCAGCCCACCCCCTCACACCGTAAAAGCGACGCTGCCCCCGAAGCCGGCCCCGCCCGGCCAACAGAACGCCCCCACAGCACCCCCGGCCCTCACGCCCCGCGGCCGCCTCACGCCGTTTCTATAGCACCCAGCCGAGCGCCGCGCCGTTCTCGCGAGATCCGCCCGCTCGCAGCGCGGTCTCGTTCGCCGTCTCTCCCGCCGAGCTGCGCGATTGGTCAGTCGGGCGTTCACTCCCGCCGTGGTGCTTACGTCACTTCCGCCGGGAGCGACGGGCCGGAAGGGCTCGATGTGCAGGTGAGTGGGCGCGCCCCGGCGGCAGCACCGCCCCGCTGGAAAAGCCCCGCCTCTGGAGCGGCGTTCCCGGTCATCGGTGCGTGAGTTTGCTGCCTCGTGGGGCGGGGGCAAAGCTAAGCGGGGTTGGACGGGGGCGAGAGTGGATGGGAGGCCCGTAAGGCTTGTTGCAGGGCTGGGAAAGCGGAGGGTACCGACACCACCTTCGGGTGTTGCCCGTGCTGGCAGCGGGGTGCTGCGGAGTGCAGGGGAGCGAGGCCTGTGCTTCACTGGGCCTCTTTCCACTGACAGTGTGTGAGCAACACTTAATTCAAATACTGCTGTGTATCCACGCCTTACAGATGCCAACCGAAAATGAGCAAAGGCAAACGTGCTGCTGAGAAGGACGCTGATGAGAGGGATGATGACAGCGATGAGTTTGCAGAGTTTACAGAGAGCTTTAACCAACTTGAGCTGCTGGAAACGCACCGGCATTTGATTCCTATAGGAACTCAGAGCGGTTGGTCGGGGCAGTCTGACGATGAAGATGATGAACAAGAAAGAAGTGAGGAATGGTATGAGATGCAAGAAAAAAAAATGGAGAAAAATCCAGAGAAATTAATACTGTGGGCAGCTGAAAACAATCGGGTAAGGCGTCTGTTCTGTGTATCTCTAACAAAAAGGCTGTATTGAATAGATGTCTGCAGTTCCATCCACAAACAGAAACTTCTCTATGCTACTCTTTATCCCTCCCAGCTAGTTTCACAAGCTGCTCTGGGAAGCATCTGCCTTTGTGTTCCTAAACACACTAAAATATTTCTTGGCCAATTAGATTTCAGAAGAAAAACTTTGACTGTAGATCAGAGTTGAAATATGAGCACTGTTCTTAAACTTGGATCAACTTAAAAGTGTGCCAGACTCTTCATGGTATGTGAGCATTTTAACTGGAGTGGAGAGGGTGTATCTGAAGCTTTATTTTCTTCAAATCTATATATACTGAGAAAGGAAGGGATCCATAAGGATCAAATCCAATCCTACCTTTTTTTTTTCTTTTTTTTTTCTTTTTTTTCCCCCCAATCTTGTTAATAGAAAAAGCTTTCTGTTCTTGGAAAATGGAGTGAGAAGATGAAGGTTCTTGTTAGACAGCTTGTTACATCCTTGTGTTTACAACAAAGGCTGCCACTGAAAATAAATGTGCACAAAAGGCACTTATAGTTGTATGGAGGCACATGTTTCTTCAGAGGCAAAAGTAGTCCTGGAGGTGCTGCAGCTTAATGCCCCACGCTGAGTGAAGTGAATTGCAGTTGTGTTTTTATGCTAGACTGTTGTGTCTCTATTTCAAGTAATAATAACTGGTTTCATCTTAAAATTTTCTATCACGCATAGTCTTTTGTGAGATGGACAGAAACTGCTTTTTCTGTGGGGGAAAAAAAAGCATTTTTAGAACAATAGAAATGGTGTGTCTTTTTTACAAAGGTTCGTATTAAATTCCCTATTTCCCTTCAACAGCTGACTACAGTGAGGAGGCTCCTTTCCGAAAAGCTGGCTCCCGTTAACGCTCGTGATGAAGATCAATACACTCCTCTCCATCGAGCTTCCTACAGTGGGCATTTGGACATGGCCCGGGAGTTGGTTGCCCAGGGGGCAGATATTCACGCACAAACAGTGGATGGGTGGACGCCCCTGCACAGTGCGTGCAAGTGGAACAATACAGAAGTGGCCGCGTTCTTGCTTCAGCAGGGTGCAGACATCAACGCTCAGACAAATGGGTTGTTGACACCTTTACATATTGCTGCAGGAAACAAAAACAGTAGGGAAACCCTTGAACTTCTGCTGATGAATCGCTACATAAAAGCAGACCTGAAAAATAACTTGGATGAAACTGCCCTTGACATTGCTAGGAGGACCGATATATACCACTACCTTTTTGAAATAGTAGAAGACTGCATAAATGCTGTGTCCCCTTAAAAGCTGTGAATGTGAGTTTTACTGCCTCTTGTTTGTCACACAGCATCTGTGTGCTTGGTCTGTCCCTTTGCATCAAGGTTGTCATTTAAGATACTGAAATATTCTTATCAGTGAAAATCTCACCTTCTGAAGTTCAACTCAGTGCTTTCCCTCATACTTTGAAGTGCCATTACTGTTATCAGGGTATTCAGAAAGCTTTAATGAATTCCGTAATTTCAGTGATTCTGTGCTCAATAAGTGCAAATTTGGAGGGATGTTTGGTCCAAAACATTAATGTCAGAACAGGAGGGAAAACTGGACTACGTATGTTATGTGAAATTCAGGTTTGGTTATGCAGAGTTTATTACGGCTCACTAGAAAATTATTTTTGAGGAACTTGTTAAAAACTGCATGGAAGCTCTGAATGGATATAATTTACTTGGGTGATTTTCAAAATGCTTAGTGATCTGGTGTAAGGCCTATTATAAAATAAAACACTTAACCCTAAATATTTTATTGTCATATCTTTAATTGAAAGCTCAGTAGCCAATGAAATTGCCTGTTCGTAAATCAAATGAACTATTCTTAGGAACAACCGAAGTCCTGTAGTACCTGATGGCTAGTTCTTGGTAGCCAAATCTCATCTGCCACATCTGAACTGGGCTTCCAGGTCTGACAGAGGTCTTACTGCCATGATTTAACCAAAGTGAGCATGGTTTGTTTAAGACCATTAGCGTGCACTTAAGCGCAGTTTTTCTCTACAATAATGCAAGTTAGAAATGCAGTGGTTTATATGTGTATATGTGTGTGTATATATATATACATGTATGTATTATATATTATGTATGATATATGTTGATACTAGGAAAAAAATGGGTATTAGGAACAACTTCTTCTTAGAAAGAGTGAACAGAAAGTAGGGAGGTGGGGCAGTCACTTTCCCTGGAGGTGGTGCAGAAATGTGGATATGTGGTATGGAGGGACATGGTGAATGGGCATGGTGGGGTGGGCTGACGGTTGGACTCGATCTTAGAGGTCTTTTCCAACCGGAATGATTCTACATTAGTGTGCATTTGGTTCTTTGATGGAACATCCTTGAGGGATCATCACCCTGTCTCTCTTGGAGCCAGCCAGCCTCCTAACACGACTGCGTGCAGTTTTGGGCACCACAGAACAAGAAGGACATAAAACTGTTAGAGAGTTTGCAAAGGAGGTGAAGGTGGTGGTTCACGAAGATGGTGAAGGGTCTATAGAGGAAGACCTATGAGGGGTGGCTGGTGGTGTGCTCAGCTCAGAGCAGAGCAGATGAGGGGACGCCTGATGGCGGCTGCAGCTCCTCACAGGGAGCAGAGGGCAGCGCTCAGCTCTCTCTGGCGACCAACAGCAGAACCCAAGAGGATGGCAGGAAGCTGCATCAGAGGAGGGTCGTGTTGGATGTCAAAAAGGTTCTTCACCGGAGGGTGGTCATGCGCAGGAACAGCCTCTCCAGCGCACTGGTCATGGCACCGAGCTTGCCAGAGTTCGAGAAGCATCTGGATAACGCTCTCAGAGCACGCTCTGACTTTTGGATGGTCCTGTGTGGTGCCGGCATTCAGTCTGGAAGATCCTTACGGGTCCCTTCCAACTCGGGATGTTCTCTCGTTCTATGGCTGCGCCTGCCCGCAGCACAGCCACAAGATGGCGATGTGCAGCCGCCGCCCGAGCGCAGCCCGCCCGAGCAGAACGCGCCCGCTCCCTCGGCAACGGCCCCACGCGCTTTCTACCCGCCGGGCGCGGCGGCCATGAGGGCGGCCAACAGCCAGCAGCCGGCGGGGGCGGCCGAGGAGGCGGACAGCGATGGCCGCAGCGAGACGGCGGGAGGCGGGCAGCCCCGTGAGCGCCCCGTCCCCTCCTGTCGCCCTGCCCCGGCCGCTCCTCCCTGCTCCCCCGTCCCCTGGGCGCTGGGTTCCTCCTGAGCGCTCCAGAAAGCCCTGGAGGGAGGGGAGGATGGGGAGGGCGGTTGGCACATCCCTCCCTGGGCCGCCTGGCGTCGGGTTGCCCTCTTTCGGGGGGCAGTGCCCGCTGCCGTGGGCTACGAGACCTGCTCCGCCCGCCCTCCACCTTGGGTTGTCCACCATGGAGGGACTCCATCGCCACAGCTCCCCAGAGCACAGGGTTGCCTTGGCTGCAGCATCCCGTGGTGCAGAGCCCTGTAGCTGAACACTATCGTGTCTGTAAATCTGCCTTAAAGTGCATTAAAGCAAGAAGAATGGGATAAAATGAAATTATGTGCTTTAAAACACACCAGCATCAGGGAAGTTAAAATGACCGGTTCTTGTGTGATGTGTTTTGCTAACAGGGAAGAACTTTCTGTACGTTGAGCCATGTAAGAGAGTTAAAGAGATCCTTGAAGAAGAGCTCTGTTTTTGGAAAGAAGAATGCCACATTAGGCATCCAACTGCAGGTAATCCTCCCTATGAGCAAATGGAAAGCGTTTGTCAGGGCAAATGAAACAGAAAATGTTTTGAGGAACTGTAGCAAAATTACTTATTTAAAAACCAAACTAAAAAAATAGTCAGTCTAGAACACTTATGTACTAGTCTAGAGAAAATTCAGAAACAGAAGAATTATACATCATCTAGTTTTTTTAGCATGAAATTATGAGACTTAGAGAACACAGAATTCCATGTGATCTATCAGCTTAATAAAACAGAAAAATACCAAGTGGTAGAGAGGTTTTGGTACTTCTTTTTTTTTGAAAGAAGTGAGATTTTATTACTTCTTTCCTTTGAAGGAGGTGTTGTAGCTACTAGAATTCACTGTCTACCTTCTGCTTCTCAGAATTTGAAGTTAGTGTTGAAAAGAAGAAGTTGAGGTAAAAATGAGCAAAAGGAAAAGAGGAAAACAAAGCAGAGAGTCAGTCTGTTTAGGCAGCTTGAAGGTTATAGACAGACTTGAATACAGTAGAAAATGAGGAAATGTAAGTCTGAAAAGGAACAAGGTGTTTGCTCTAGATAAGAAACAATTAAAAAGGTGTTTCAGTATTTGTATCATTAGCAGTCTGTACAGAGAATGATCTACTTCATTTAACTTACGTCTGCTGACACCTAAAGCTAACATTAGCACGAGGGTGTTGGGCTGCTGGTCAACTGGTACTCCTAAATCCACAATACTTTTCCCCCATAACAGGTGGTTCTTGTTCTGTAGCCCTGCATTCTATCCCACAGTGTAAAACTATTCCTTGGTTATGTTAAGCTACATTTTGTTGAAATAGGTCCACCACAATCTTTCTTAATATTTACATCTTCCACAAATGTAGCAAAGCCTTAAATTTTCCCTTTATTTCCAAATCTAGACAAGTTTGGAAAAGGTCTTTGTGTTCTCCTGTTTAGGATTAGAACCCAAAAGTAAATTTACTCAAAATGAGTATCAAACAATTGGATTCACAGACAAAAATGTACAAAAGTTGGGTGATGTAGTCAGTATCCAGATTTAAATTATTTGAACCTGCAACTGCATGACTGTGATTAGACTCCTTAGGCAATTACAGCACACACTGGCAGACGAACTTCTTATGTAAATTCTGTTTATATTAAAAATAGAGGAAAAAAAGGCACTTTGAAAGCACAGTTCTGACTGTCTTTGCATTAGTCTTTCTCTGTATGTGCTCTCTTCCCACTGATGGTAAAGGGGATCTGGGCAAGTGGTTGAGTTGCAGATGCTATCATTAGTCTGCTCAGTTCACTCTTGTGTCTCATGTTAGTGAGAGCTTAACACACCAACACTGCACTACATTCATCTGCCACTGGATCACAATTGTCTGGAAGATTACAGTTTGATCATATGAATGGACATTACAAAGTTGCTCTCTGAAGAGGTCAGTCACTCTTTTTCATTAACTGTGGAGGCTGCTTATGGCGCTGTCCTACCAATGTCTAATTACCGGACTGAACAAAGGGATTATCCTTTAAATGTTCCACCAGTTTTAGAACAAGTTTAAATAATCAGTTGTAACAGTATTATTTTGACTAATTATTAACAGCGGCTCTGAAAGGAATTTGGAGTGTGAAAAAGAATTTCTCCATCGGAAGCCTGCAGCCAGCATCGCAGAACAGAAATGGCTTACTTTTACAACCTCAGTTCTACTCAAGGCATGTAGGAATGAAAAGTAAGAGTCAACAATAAGAATCTTTGCCTATAACAGCTCACTTTAAAGTTGTCAGTTGATGTTTCTTTTTGAAGTTGATTGACATTTCACTGAACTGCATATCTTATATCTTATATCTCATTTCTATCCTTTCTCATCTGTGAGAAAAGCACAGATTTAAAACAAGACAGGCTATTCAAATTTATTTTGGTGCTGAAATGTATGGGATTTGTTGGTTTTCTTCTGGGAACGTAGATGCTCTTTGTCCTAAGGGCTGCTTCTAGGAGCAGTGATGCTTCTCCTCACTAGCTTTTCTGCCTGTTTTGAAGCAGAATAGGCAGGTAACATGAGAGGAAGGACAGAAGAAGAGATAGAAACAAGAAAAAACTGGAAGCAATCTGACTTCAGTTCCTATCAAACCTATCATCAAACCGCTTCCATTCACACATTTTTTTCTGTGTAAGGAGCAGGGGAAAAAAAGTGTGATTATATATAATTGAGAGGTGGAATGTCTATGAAGGTAGATGAAAAAGGAAAGATTTCCTTTTTCCAAGAGAAGATGAACTTACTGTGTTCAGCATCTGAAGGAGAGGCACCAGGCAAAGGATAAAGGAGAAGCACAGACAAGGGGAGTGAAAAAGAAGACAGAGAACAGAAAGTTAGGAATTCCTGAAGGGAATTGGAGAGGAAAACACAGTTCAGCAATACAGGAATAGAAATAAAAATAAAGAAATGAAGAAAAATTATGTAGGAGAAATAAGTAGAAGAGAATAAAGGGAAAGGAAGAAATTAGACCCACGTTGCTGAATTTACTGAAGTTAATGCACTTATTTTTGCTTCTTCCTTTTACTGCCTTTCCCTAAATGTGGCTGGCTCTTGGGGGGCTCGCTCTGTGATGTCACATCTATCCTTACAAGGGTCTTGATTTTTTTGAAAACGTGAATCTGTTTGGATGCGTCAAATGAAACTTTAAAATGGCCAGCTGTCTGTGGAAATTTAGGTCTGTATTTATAAGATTTTAAACAAGTTTTGTTTGGGTAGGGGCTTACTTTCTCCTTATAGCTGTTTTATCCGTATGTTCCTGCTGCTTTTTTATCTGATATTGTAGTTAGTACTCAAATCTGATCCTATTTCAGTCAGTGATGAAAATATTACAATTAAAAAAACTACAAAATGTTTCTGATGACAAGAATGTGCTACTATGAAACTTGACATTTTTATAGTTTTCTCTGTTGCAGAGTGATTCTGAATTCCAGCAGAAGATCATAACGTAGCTGAGGAAATGCCTTAACTTTTCTTAACATGCATTAAGCTCAGCAATTCCTGGGCCAAGAGTTTGTGATTCAGTAAACAAGCTCGACTTAATAAAAGTTTAACATAAATAAGCCTGTGATGTCTCTATTTATGTAAGAGCTATCATAGAGGCTGCCTGGAACCTAAAATAACCTGTCACTGAACTCCCACTTGCAACAGTTATTAAAGTCAGGTGAGGTGATACCACATGAGCATTCGTTTGTATTTATCGTATAGTCACACTACTTAGGAAGCGGTCATGGATCCTTCAGGGTACCTGTACAAAAATTGGACAAGCAATAGCTTTGTGGCTGATTGGGAGAGGTCCCAAAGGACTGGCAGAAAGTCAGTGTCACTCCTGTCTTCAAGCAGGACTGGGTGGAGGATTTAGGGAACTGCTGGCTGGTTGGCTTTCTCACAGTTCCTGGGAAGATGATGAAGCAACTAATAATGGAAGCCTTTTCCAAACATATGAAGGACAAGAGGGTGGTTGGGAGTATCCAGCAAGGATTTATGAAGGGGAAACTGTGTTTTACAAACCTGAAAGCCTTCTGCAATGAGATAGGTTGGTTGGTGGATGAGGGGAGAGCAGTTGATGTTGTTTACTTCGTCAAAAGCCTTGCTAGAGCCTCTATCTGCCCCAACAGCCTCAGTGACAACTGATGAAGTACGGGTTATATAAATGTACAATGAGGTGAATGGAAAACTGGCTGAAGTGACAAGCTCACAATGTTGTGATGAGTATCATAAAGTCCAGCTGGAGGAGTCACTGGCGGAGAAAACCAAGAGTTGATTGTTTAACATCTTCTCTAGTGACCTGGACAGTGGAACAAAGTAGAACTCAGCAAGTTTGCAGAGAATACAAAATGAGAAGGAGCATTTGATACACCAGGTAGGTGCCATTCAAAGGGTACTCTACAGGTTTCAGAGTTGGGCAGAGAAAAAATTCATGAAGTTTAGATTAGGGAAATGCCGCATCCTGCTTCTAGGGAGAAATAATCCCTTGCACCATGACAAGCTGGAGAACCACAGACTGGAAAGCAGCTTGGCACAGCTGGGGCTCCTGCTGGACAAGAAGTTGAGCATCAGTCAGCAGTGGCTGGCAGTCCCTTGGGCTGCCTTAGAAAGATCTTTGTCATTAGGTTGAGAGAAGTGATCTTTTCCTCTCCTCAGCACTGGTGAGATACATCTGGAGTGCTAGGTCCAGTTCAGGAGATGTACTCAAGCAAATCCAGCCAGTAGCCATGAAGATGATTAAGCGATGTTACTGAAGAGATGATGAGAAAGCTAGGAGTGCTTAGCACTGAGAAGGCTCAGGAGAAATATATACTGAACTGGGGGCAAAGAGAGTCAGTGCTTATCAGGCTTGAAAGTAGATTTCCACAATGAGGAAGGCAAGAATCTCATGGCACCAGGAGGAAGGGTCCTTTCTTGCCTGCAGATTGGCAGCTATGGAATCGCTTCAGTGGAGTAGAAGCAGATGAGGGATCTGAAGTTCTCTCTGGCAAACCAACTGATGGCTGAGCCTGAATCATGCAGGGGGACATAATACTAGTTGGAGGCTCCCTGCTGCAAACAATGAAGGCCCACGTTTTCTGCACCAACTTGACGCTGAGGAAATGTATTGTGGGTTTGCAGATGACAGCAAGTTGATCTGCCTGAGAGTAGGAAGGTCCTGCAGAGGGATCTGGGCAGGCTGGATTGCTGGGCTGAGGCCAGAATTCTTTCTGTCCTGCAGTAACATAAACAAATATTTCTTCTTTCTAAAGGAGGTAACTGTTTTGTACAATGAAGAAACTGAACTGATGGATAACTTAAAGGCAGAGTTGAAGAGTTCCTTATTCCCAGTGTCATCTCAAACTGATAATTCATGTTTTCCCTAAGGTGTGGTTTTAAGAGGTGGAATGGAATTTGTTTCTGAGAATCCTATTTAAGCTAGACTGATTATTGTTATGAAGAAATCGTCTTAGTGCCAACTTTGAACAACTAAACTTTCTGTTCCTTTGTGTTTTTGTTTCCTTTTTTAAAATCATATGTGGATGAAATAGGATATTTGGTTTTTTGATTGCCTGGAAGTTTTTTCTAATACTAAAAAAAAAAGGTTTATTTTTGCACCTGTGAGAAGGAAAACAAATCTAACTTAGCTGGCTTGAAGACAACTCTTTTTTGGCATTTCTGTTTGACTTCTAACTGGAAAAAAAAAATATTGGCACTAAAAATTGCACCTGAGGCACAAGAGGATTTACAGCTTTTGAAAACATTCTCACTTTTTAGATGCAAATTTGATCATGAACCACACAATCATGTTTGAAAAATGACAGATAGAGGCTCTGATTAACCTGGCTGCATCTCACTTCTGCTCCTTGTTGCATTTTCATTCTGGCCTCCTCCCATGGCTTTCTCGTTCTCAGTTATTATTTTTTCATGATCTTCTTTTAAAACTTGCCAAATGGAAAGATTTTCTGCGTTCATCCTGCAGTGGCTCCGTTTTGCTGCAACAAAGGCAGATTTGTGGAACTCACTGGTTCCTTTGCTTCTTTTTGTGCAACCTTGTGCAGTGAAGAAATGTTTCTTAGACCTTCTACTGAATGTTTCATTATTTTAATTATGAGGCTCAGGTGATTCTTATTTAGTCCAACATAATCACATTCAAGATCTTTTTATACGTCTCATGTTTCACTTGAATCAATCTAAGGCATTTGTTTAAATGGCATTATAGTAACTCAATATTAGTACTACTGAATTACTACTTCTATGATATTTATAATATTTCATTACATCGTGTTTCTATTAATCTAAATATACTTTGCTCACATTTTATCATAGTAATTTTTCATTCTAACCATTCAGCTACTCTTTTCTCGTCCTTGTTTTATATTATTTCATTTCCAAATTAAACATTGCAGTTCTGAGAGACAGCAGTTATTGCTTCCACACAGTAGTAAGCATTCAAGCACTGACATCTCTCAAAGGCTGTGTCTACACTATCAAGTAATGAGGTATAGTGGAAAGGGATCAATATATTAAAGCGACTGATGTGAGGGCCCCATAACTATTAGATTGATCTGAAACTAGAGCTAGTCTTGTTTCCTGGACTGAAATGCCCCTACAGTGCTTGAGGTTCAAAGATGCCTGGAGAAAAGCTCCATCACAAACCTTTGCACTTGGGCCTGTCGGATGCGCAGTGGGTAAAGTGAGAGCATCTGAGCATCCCCCTGGAATCAGAGGTCTCGCCTGCTTTCTATGAATGGCTGCCACTGTTGCTGCTTAAGATGCCATTCAGTGCTCCAGAACACAAGGCTGAAAATCACAGAATGTCAGGGATTGGAAGGGACCTCGAAAGATCATCTAGTCCAATCCCCCTGCTGGAACATCCATGCTAACTGCTAGCAAATATCCACTGAGCCACGTTTCAGCTTGATAGTACACACCTGTCAGATTACCTGAGGACTGTGTGGTTTTGGCAGGAAGGATGGGTGCTCCAATTTTGGCTCTGATCTATACCAGTGAACAAAGATGAGTGCTGCACCAGAAGGTAGAAGTGTGCTGGGACAGGATCCTCCACCTACATTGTGCACAGCAAAGCTGTCTATGCCTGTGCCTTGACCTGGAAAAGTCAACTTTAGACAGCTGTAATACATCCCTGCTCAGTCACAAGTGGAACTGTAGCCAGGCAGAATATTTTAACATCACATTTCTTTCATGTGCAGTCACTTGGGCTCGTCTGTTCAGAAGTTGTTCGTCCAATGAGATGGGCATCACCTTTCAACCGAATATTTTATCTCTGGTCATATTTTAGAATGTTAAACTTCCAAGCAGAAAGATCATAGTCCCTAACTTAAAAAATAGTCAATCAAATTACAGGCATTCACATTTTATACTAAAATACAGCATGCAATTTATACAGAATGAAACTTTTATCACTCTTTTTCAGAGAGGATGTAGGGCCTTACTTGACAAAAACTTGCATTGCTATCACAGGAGCTACTTAAGAAGAAGAGATTTCAAAGCCACTCATAAGTGTCATTTTGGTACGAAATAGATCCTGCTGCTCTTTCAAGCTGATCACATTCTTTTAGGATAAGAAATGCACAGCATTTTTCAAGACAGTTGACAAATAACTTCAAAGAGTCTTCTAGGCTTAAATGCTTCTTCTGTGTAACAAAACAAAGTGAGTCAGAGTACAAGAGGAAGCCAGCTGGGAAAACACATTTACCACTGTTAGAGACTGCAAACATTTAGCCTTCAAATAAGCAAAATATTTTTTATTTTGCAACAGTTTCATTACCAGCAGATAGCATTTTGTTTTAAATTCCTGGCTATCAGCAAGAGTGGAGCTACTGCAATTTCCATGGAGCGCTTAAACCACAGTTCCCTGTGTATGCAGAAGAAAAAGTGTGCATGGTCCTCAGCCCACAGCTATGTCCTGGGCTGGTTAATCTCCAAAAGCAGTGTCAGTGGCTCTTTCCCAAGTCAGGGGGAACAAAACTGCTTGAAAAAAGAAACAACTACCTTTGTGCAAAAGAAATTTAGTAAAGCCAAATGCTATATGAGCCACCATATTCCCAGCTCTGGTTGAAGTGCAATTTGTGAAAGAAGGGCTGCAAATTCTTTTTTTTTTCAAAGCTGTCACTGCTTGGTTTGTAAGTACCTCTATGTTAAGTTGTTTCACAACCCCAGAATTAATTACAATATTTTTATTGACTTCACTTTATGTAGGACTGGGTATGACATGATCAGTAGACTCTAATTGGCCAGGTTATAGAACTTAGCAGTGCATCTTCAAGGAACAGGAATGAAAACTAGACTAGGCAAGTAGAATCTGGTGTGGCTTTCTCCAAAGTCATATGTCAAGTGTATGCTCCTGAAGGAAAATAAGAACTGCCATTGCTGCTGATACAATCAAATATATTGGGTGAATCAAGATTCAACAGAAGTCAACCTCTGATCTTCATGGGTCAAAAATTTCTCACATTACCTGCAGAAATGGCTAAAGAACCAAAATTCCTGTTTTGTGACTAAAACCAGTGTTGTTTGTCCGGGCAGGTCCTGTGATTTTGTTGTTTTGCTTTGCTGTTAGGTAGCAAGCACA